TTTAATTTAATTTAATTTATTTTTTTGAGACAGAGTCTCTCTCTGCTGCTCAGGCTGGAGTACAGTGGCATGATCTTGGCTCACTGCAACCTCCACCTCCTGGGTTCAACCAATTCTAGTGCCTCAGCCTCCTGAGTAGCTGGGATTACAGGTGTGCACCATCATGCCTGGCTAATTTTTGTATTTTTTGTAAAGACAGGGCTTCACCATATTGGCCAGGCTGGTCTTGAACTCCTGGCCTCAAGTGATCCACCCACCTCAGCCTCCCAAAATGCTGGAATTATAGGTGTGAGCCACCGTGCCTAGCCCCAGTCACTGCTCTTGTTGATTCCTCAGAGCTCTTTACTTTTTAAATCCTGCTCGGACATCTCCCCATCTTTTGCTGCTTTTCCTCGCCCTCACTTGGCCCTCAATTTTGATACTATCTCATGCTAACTCATATAGAATCTGGGAATAGGCCCAGAGGGCAAAGCCTTGGTGGTCCTTGTACCCTGAGGAAGCAAGATGCTCTCACAGATACTGTAGGGAATGTTCTATGAATGAATAAGAAAGCCAAAAAGGGCAGGGGAGGAAGTATTAGGTTGGTGCAAAAGTAATTGTAGTTAAAAAAAAAAAAAAGGGCAAAAAACGCAATTAATTTTGCACCAAACAGGAAAGAAGCAGAATGTTTGAAAGAAGAGAGAAGCAGTCAGAAATAAGCAGAGAAAATGAGGGCAACATATGAGCCACTCCTTATTTCTAAGGCATCCTCTATCTCTTAACCATAAGTTATGAACATTTCCAGAGATGTACACAAAAATTATTAATACATGTTTCTGTTTCTGTCTATCTTATGAGCTCTGTCTTTCTCTGTCTCTCTTCCAACATCCCCTTCACCAGCACCCCTCTGTCTCTCTCTCTTAGAAAGGAACATTTGTTGGCCTGAATTCCAGCTTCTAGCTCTCAGGCCTAAGGGAGATGGGTTCCATTGTCATAGCAACAGCAACATTGGCCCCAGTGACAGTTATAGAAATGGCTAAAGGAAAGGGCAGATTCAAGGAGGACCAAAGAAGACACACATACTAAAAGAGAAAGTGGAAAAAGGGTGTGAGGGAGGGATCACAGAGTTGGCAGGGGTGGGGCTGGGCGATACTCACAAAGGAAGTCGGAGAGCCACTCGGGCTGGTTGTAGTGAACAATAGCAACACACAGCGTGTTGAGAGCTACCAAACTGAGTACAGTCCAGTAGAAGGCCTGAGTTTTGACCATGCGGCGGATGTAGAAACGCATCCTCCTCTCTTTTTTGTGAAAAAAGGTCGAGTTCTCCAGCTTGGCACTTTTAATGCTGGCTCGGGCGAAGGGAGAACCTGCCAGGGAGAAGATGGAGAATGTCAGGCTTAGGCTGTTCCTGTAGAAGAAATTAACCAGTGTGCAGCCCAAGCACAGATCATAGCCAGGGGATCCATTAGTCTCTCCAGCAAGCCCTCTGGCCTGAGGGAACCATCATGACCCATGGGCTTAGTTTTGCATAGATGGAGCTTATGAGAAGACCATGTCCCTAAAAATAACAGAATCAGAAATAACCAATGAGTAAGCAGGATGTTGATGGGGAGGCTGATAGCTCTCTGTTGCAGGAGCCAATTTTCCATGACTCCCACTCCCAGGCACATCTGATACCTCTGGGAGTCACACCACAGGGCAGGATAAAGCAGGGCCTCCATTCCCTGATGCAGGGGCAGGCAACAGAGCTGCACGGAGCATGTTTGGAAGGCCTCCAGAAAGAGATGTGGATAAGACTCTAGTTTTCCATGGACATTTCACTTTAGAAGTGATCACTGAGGAATGAGCTGGGTGTGTCCCCTGCCTGCATATAGTTTTGCTCTTATGCATTTATTGAGTACCTATTTTGTGCCAGCCTCTGTTCCAGGGGCTCAGGATACATTAGGCAACAGAGCCTGGACTTCCTGGGTCTGACCTTCTAAGGGGAGGAGACAGACAGTGGACATAATAAGTAAATTAACAGTGGGATGGAAAACGAAAGGTGCTATGAAAAAAAAAAAGTTGGGATGGGTGCAGTGGCACATGCTTGTAATCCCAGTATTTTGGGAAGCTGGAGTGGGAGGACTGTTTGAGGCCAGGAGTTTGACACCAGCCTGGGCAACATAGCGAGACATGTTTTTTAAATAACAATTGTTTTTTTACAGAGAAAAAGTAAAGCATCACAGAGGGACTGGGAGCCCTAGGAGAGTCCACGGGGTAGGCTACAGCATTAAATTGCAAGGTCAAGGTGAGTGTGTTGACTTGTCACTTTAGTATCTTAGGTAGAGGAAACAGCAAATTTAAGGTCCTGAAGCGTGAATGTGTCTGCCCAACAGTTTTGGGGAACAGCACAAGGAAGTCAGTGTGGATGGAGTGGAGTGGTTGAGGGGAAAAGAGAAGGAGGTGAAGGCAGGGAGGTGATAGGCAGATCATGCAGGGCCTGGTGGACCACAAGGAGGACTTTGGCTTTTACCTTGAGTGAGGTGGAAGCCATGGAGGGTTCTGAGTACAGGAGGGATGGAACCTGACTTGGGTGTTCACAGGCACCCTCTGGCTGCCGTGGGGGACAGTAGACAGTGAGAGGTGAGGACAGGAGCTAGGAGACCAGGCTGGAGGTGACTGACCCATCCAGGCAAGTGATGATGATGATGGAAGGGAGCTGGAGTTGGGTGGTAGTCAAGTGGGGAGAATTTGGGATGAATCATTTAAGACAGATTCAACATTTGCTGATGGAATGGTGTGAGTATAAGAGAGAGGGATGAGCCAAGGTTTTTGGTGAACCCCTTGAGGGATGGAGCTGTCATCCACTGAATGGGCACAGGTTTAGGGGAAGGTCAGAGCTCAGTTTTGGACAGATTGAATTTACCTTCTAAAATACCTCTATCTTTTTTTTTTTTTTTTTTTGAGACAGGATCTTGCTTTGTTGCTCAGGCTGGAATGCAGTGGCTTGATCATAGCTCACTGCAGCCTTGAACTCCTGGGTTTAAGCGATCCTTCTACCTCAGCCTCCTGTGTAGCTACAACTACAGGCATGTACCACCATGCCCACTTAATTAAAACAATTTTGTTTTTGGTAGCAATGAGGTCTCCCTATGTTGCCCAGGCTGGTCTTGAACTCCTGGGTTCAAGCAATCCTCCCGCCTCAGCCTCCCTAAGCATTGGGATTACAGCATGAACCACCATGCCCAGGCTTAAGATACCCTTTTCTTATAAACCCTCAGTTGCATTCATTTTTAAGTGGTTCTTCATTGATTCATTCATTCATTAGTACATTCATTCTTTCATCCATCCATTTGTTCATTTATTCATTCATTCTTTCACTATTCTTAAATTCATTAGCACATTCATCATTTATCCATTCGTTTGTGTGTACATCATTCATTTGCTCATCCATCCATCCATCCATTCATTATTCATTTGCTCATTTGTTTCTCCATTCATTCCTCCATTTATCCATTCACCCATTCATCCATCCAGCACACTTATCAAAACCACCCCACTTGCCAGACACAGGACACAGCAAACACCTCCAAGGAGGCCACTTCCTATCAGCAAAATTTTCAACGGAGATTTTGAGTTGGCACCCTAGGGGCCATACCGACTCATACTGGGTTTGTGAAAGCTGAAATTATTGGTCCACATTTAAAAACTGGGAGATTTTCCATGAAAATATGGATTTCAGCTTCCCCTGAATGAAAATAACAGCTGACGTTTATGGAACATTTAGCAGGCACCAGGCACCGCAGGGAACATGTTTTACACAAGCTACTTGCTCCTCCTCAGAGTCCTAGGAAGTAGGGACCAGTGTTATCCCCATTTTACAGCCAAGGAAACAGGCTGAGAGGGGTCTAGTAACTGGTGAAGATGTGTCAAGATAGTTCAGAGGGTGTGCTCTGGGCCACCACATTGCACACCTGGGGCATGTGGCCATGAGGCAGGGGCACAATTCCACTAGGCTGCAGTTGGCCAGGCCCGGTGGCTGTGACCTCCTTACAGGGACGCCTCTCCTTTCTGCAAAGACCATTCCCCTCATGTTCATCACCTTCTCGAGCCCAGGGGCAGCTCCTCATGACCCTGCCCAGCATTTCTGGCCCTAGTCCCTGAAACTCTCAAAGATGTGTCCAGATCTGCAGGTCTCCAAAGGGCTTGGCCAAAAGAAATAAGACCCTTGGGACCTTGGGGGTCAGAGGGGATGTTCCACAGATCGAGAGAGAGAGAGAGAGAGAGACAGAGAGGAAGAGAGGGAGAGAGAGAGAGAGACCAACCACAACAGGCAGAAGGTCCCCAGCCCCCACTCCTGCTGAAGCCACACTGAAAACCTAGCTTAATCACCAACCAGCAGATGACCTTGGGCAAGCCACCTTGGTACATTGGAGACAACCACAGTTCCTACCTCAAAGGGCCATCCAAAAGCATAAATGAATTAATACATCTTAGCATGATGCCTGATACTTTATGATTATTGGATATAAATCTTCTAGTATAACCTCAAGAGCTGAAATAATGACTAGGTTCACGTGCCAGCTATTGAGAAAGTCTTTCCTGATCACTCAGCCTGGAGACACATCCCCACAACAGGTGTACCCTTCACTGGGAAGGGAGAGGGAAATGAATATTAATTGAACACCTACTAAGTGCTGGACCCCACGCTAGGTACTGTTACTTCTACAGTTGAATTTCATGCTCACTTTGACCCATGTTCCCTTTTTCTATACATTCCTGTCTCTCATTTTTCTCTATGGTCTGGAATTATAATTGCAGACAGTTTCTGGATTTTTAAAAATCATTTTCAAGAGATATTTTATTCAACCCAATATATCCAAAATATTACCATTGCAACATGGAATCAATACTAAGATGGATTCAAAAGATATTTTAGGCCGGACGCGGTGGCTCAAGCCTGTAATCCCAGCACTTTGGGAGGCCGAGACGGGCGGATCACGAGGTCAGGAGATCGAGACCATCCTGGCTAACCCGGTG